GCAAGATTTTGTGCAAAATCTTGCCTCCTGTCTACACTGGCCGCGAGTATTTGCGCAAGAACGCTGACTTTGTAATGTACAAAATCAGTGGTTCTTGTGCAAATATTCCGACGCTCCTGCTCAGGGATAAGCCCTCCTGCGCAAGTATTCTTGTGCAAGAGGGCCAGTGTAGACAGCCAAGTTAATTTCTTGCACAAGAAAGCCCGATGGCTAAAATGGCCATCAGAGCTTTCTTGCGCAAGAGAGCCCCTACACTGGCACTGATGCTTTTGCTCAAAAGCAAATCTTTTGCGCAAAGGCACATGCCAGTATAGACGCTCTCTTGCGAAAATACTTTTAACGGAAAAACTTTTCAGTTAAAAGTATTTGCGCAAAATCATGCCAGTCTAGACACAGCCTAGGAGAAAGATTTCAGGAATGTTTGTCCCCAGGTTTCAGGAATGTTTGTCCCCAGTACAATCAATTTTTAGGCAGCTCTATTCTTCCCCTCAGCCAGCACAGAGTGTCTTCAGCTCTGATTCATGGCTCAGCACAGCAGGGTTATGAAAGGGGATGAACTAGCAAGAGAAGTAGGCAGGGAACAGGGGATGTGGTTAAATGTTGTTTCCATTAACATCTGAGGATCAGCTCAACAGATTTTAGGGATTAAGTTTCAAAGCAAACCTGGAACTAGACAGGACACAGAGGAGAGACAAGAAGCAGTGGGGTTATTGCACCCAAGGAGCTTAGCTCATCTGTTGATGATGGTTTATTTTTGCTACCAGGCTCCCGTGTATCTCCCAGCACTGAGTGTTGGGCCATTTGCTGTCAGTCCAGCCCCATGTCCCGATCTCCCTGGCCCGGGGCAAAGGATGAGCTAGTGGCTGCTGTCTCTGGGGAGTGTCTGTGGCAGTCGGCAGGTAGGGGCAAGGCCAGAAGCTGCCAGCCCCATCTGGAGTGGATAGCAGCTGTCCCCTGCTTTGCTGCTTTGGCCACAGCCAGGGCCACCAGAACAGCTGCCACTTGCCATGCAGTTCTGACTCTGGTCAGGGCCACCAGAACAGCTGCCACTTGCCATGCAGTTCTGACTCTGGTCAGGGCCACCAGAACAGCTGCCACTTGCCATGCAGTTCTGACTCTGGTCAGGGCCACCAGAACAGCTGCCACTTGCCATGCAGTTCTGACTCTGGTCAGGGCCACCAGAACAGCTGCCACTCCCCACATGGCCTGCAGCTCCAGCCTGGGGAAGAGCTGAAGCTAGGGCCGCATTGTGGCTGCCCTGATGCTCCTTGCAGGAAGCGGACACCCACACACAGCCCTGCCCTGGAGAAGCCCACCCTGCTGAGGAGGTGGGTGGGCTTCAAATTCTTGGTACGTACCCGTGCAGGCGCGCATCTTAGAAGGAACACTGTTTGCATCCCTGACCAATCTGTTGACATTACCCAAAAAGATCCAGTTAACAGTTAGTCACCCATCAAAAATATAAGGGACCAATCAGTCCAAGCCCCACTGCCTCCTAGAGATGATCTTTGAAGAAAATTGGAGAGACTGTGAATTGATGACTTCTGACAGCACTTTCTCTCACTGGACATGGGGGCTGTGTCTACATTGGCACCCTTTTCTGGAAAAGGGTTGCTAATGAGACCAGTCGGAATTGCAAATGCCACAGGGGATTTAAATATCCCCCGCGGCATTTGCATGAACATGGCTGCCGCTTTTTTCCGGCTCGGGGTTTTGCCAGAGAAAAGCGCCAGTCTAGATGGGATCTTGCGGAAAATAAACCCTTTTCCGGAAGATCCCTTATTCCTACTTTCAAGTGATCTTCCGGAAAAGGGTTTATTTTCCACAAGATCCCGTCTAGACTGGCGCTTTTCTCTGGCAAAACCCCGAGCCGGAAAAAAGCGGCAGCCATGTTCATGCAAATGCCGCAGGGGATATTTAAATCCCCCGCGGCATTTGCAATTCCGACTGGTCTCATTAGCATCCCTTTTCCGGAAAAGGGTGCCAATGTAGACACAACCGGGGTCTTTAGCAGAGGTTTCACGTTGTGTGTCAGAATAACTCAGAAATGCATTGTCACAGCTAACTCCATTCAGGTCTAGGCAAGGTACAGCCCAAAGACAGAAGAACAAATCCCTTGAAAATGGAAGTCAAAACATCTCATCTCTTCACTGAGCTCACAAAGGGCTTGTTTACCCAGACACACAAGTCAAGACAACCCTCTCTGTAGAGAGACAATACATTCTGCCTCTCTGTGGATGCTCCAAGTGTTTTCACGTGGCATCTTAACATTCTGTTTAAATCATCAACTATTTGGATGAAGAAGACTCACAAAGAGTCTATCCATCATCTACATTGGAGTGATACAGTGATTTCACTACCAGGGTAACAGACCCCACCTTTCTGTGGGCTCTTGTGGAGTAGCAGAGAGCCCGGGGCAGTCTCTCTGGGGGAAAAACTGGAGGAGCCTCTATTTCAGTGGTTCTCAAACTTTTTGGCCTATCGAACACCTGGCTTACTGTAAACCTGTCTGTGAACCAACAATTGCTAATGGAAACTCACCGTTAATTACATAATTACACCTCAGCCATTTTGCTAGTGCTGCAGCTAGGGAGAACAGTTTAATATAAATTATTAAACAGACTAAGCATTTTAACTTTCTCATGTTAGTTTATCAAAGTAAAATATTAATTTGTGTCCAACACAAAAGGTTTCAATGTTTTATTTATTTATGGCAGGGGTGGAGGACTGTTTTTGGATCGGGGTCCACTGACCCACAGAAAAATCAGTTGGAGACCACACAAGTGAGAAGCAAAATACCTCCTCCAAAAACCTCCATCCCTCACTGGTGTGGCCCTCAACTGAGACCCCTCACTCCCCTGGCACTCCAGCCACATAGGGCAAGGGGCAGGGACAGGGAGGACTGAGATTCAGGGCTTTACATAGGCCAGATTTACTTTTCTGAGGTTCTCGAGTTAGTGGATTTTATGGATCCCCTTAGGCTCTGAGCAGGAGAACAAAAATGAGAGGTTCAGTGTGCAGGACAGGGCTGCCAGCTAGTGGGCTAGGGATGAGGTGCAGGATCTGGGAGGGAGGTAGGATGCAGAAGGGGGAGAGGTTGCAAACTCTGCGTGGGAGGTAGGGTGCAGAAGCAGCCTGGGAGTAGGATGTCTGGCCAGATGGAGGGCGCAGGAGCAATGGTGGATGCAGAAGCAGGGTGGAGGTAGGTGTCTGGTCAGGGGTGAGGGTGCAGGAGCACCCTGGGAGTGCGGGGAATGAGTGAAGGGGATTGAGATGAGGGGATCTGGGCATGAGGGAGGATTTTTGCCTGACTTCATGCCCCCTTGCAGCTGGGAAAGCTTCCAGACAGCATGCTGCTGTTCCCTCAGCAGGGTAGAGAGGTGAAGGGAGCTCTGTCCCCCTCCCTCTCCATCCCCACGCAGCAGGGAGCCCATGCAGCCATGAGTTCTAGCTTCCTCCTCAGAGGGCTTTCGGCCCCGACCTCCCCCATCAGACCCAGTTCACGGAGAGTGGCAGAGTAAGCAGCGCCACGCATTGCTGCTCTCCCAGTTGGGTATGGAGGGGCGAGGGGGGAGAGAGCGTCAGTGCATGGAGTGCACCTGCTGAGCTCGAGCGTGCCCTGCTCCACAACGCCCCAGCTGGGCTCTGTGCAGCTCCTTCCTGGGGCTGAAGCGGCAGCTTCAAGGCGCTGAGGTCTAGGAGCAGTTCCACCGGGTTTTGCCTCAGATTTGCCCATTTCCACCTTCCCCCGGCAATGGTGGTGGTGGCTGCTGTAACAAGTGGCCACCTGAAGAGGAGGCATCACGGCCGGACCGGGGGCCCTGTGTGGCAGAAGCAGTCTTGCTGGCGGAGGTAAGGGGCAGCACAGTATGCGTTGGTGGGGAAGCCGCAGTGGGTGGCAAGGTGGGGGTGTTTGGACTGATTTGTCCTAGTGCGGTAGCGCACTGGAAGTTGGAGAATATTCCCAACTCTGGAAACCACACGCCACTGGAAGCCATCCCAGCTGCTCACCAGCAAAGCGCCAAGGGAGCCACCTACATGCTTGGCAGTGTTGGAGGTGGAGATCATTGCTTCTGCACCGCACTAGGGAGTGAGTCTTTGTGAGACTCTGGTAGCCAGGAGGAAGTGAAATGGCAGTGCACTGAGCCATTTCTGGCTTGCTTCTTCCCCACAAGCTAGATGCGGTGGGGCTTTCCGGGACATTTTACTATTTAATGGGGACACCGGGATGCAGTATTTAAATTCAGGGCAGTCCTGGAAAATCCCGAACATATGGTCTGCGTAAGTAAAGGGAATATATAAACAGACTATCTATGAAAGTGGGATCTTTTATACGCATGTTTCCCAAAGGGTGGGTCATGACCCACCAGTGTGTAATGGAAAGGTCTACATAGTCCACCACATACAGAGTTGGCTTAACCACTACTGGGCACTAACATGACGGAAGGGGCAGTCAGGTCAAATCTGAGTGATGCTGTTTTGGGATCACAATCATTGTCTCCTTTTCTCACACACATAGGCTGTGTCTACATTGGCAAGATTTTGTGCAAAAGCAAGATTTTGTGGCCTGTCTACACACTGGCCGCGAGTACTTGCGCAAGAACACTGACTTTCTAATGTATAAAATCAGTGCTTCTTGTGCAAATACTCTGACGCTCCAACTCAGGGATAAGCCCTCTTGAGCAACTGTTCTTGCGCGAGAGGCCAGTGTAGACAGGTAATGTTAATTTCTTGTGCAAGAAAGCCCGATGGCTAAAATGGCCATCAGAGCTTTCTTGCACAAGAGAGCGTCTACACTGGCACGGATGCTTTTGCACAGAAGCACATCTCCTGCACAAAAGCATATGCCAGTGTAGACGCTCTCTTGCACAAATACTTTAATGCAAAAACTCGTGTGTTAAAAGTATTTGCACAAAATCTTGCCAATGTAGACATAGCCATAGTGTAGATGGGATGTCAGCAAAGAGGTCAAAAATCAAAAGAAAACCCCCATTCCTTACCTGCCATCACCTTTCCCATGCAAAAACCCTCATGATTTTTGATCTCTTGAGGTTGGCCCTCCTGGGTAGAAGCTTGTGTCATCTACACGGTACTGGCGTTTGCATCCCTGTAGCCTGTTACCAGTTTGCCAACTGGCTAGGAGCAAAGTGACTTGCCCAAGGTCAGGGCAGTGCCGTGCCAGGTATCAAAGCCAGCCGTGGAAGCTTCTGGGCAACAGCACAAAACACACACACACGCCCCCCCCAAGTAGGCCCCTTTCACTGTCCCCGCGCCAGGAACTGCTGGCACCAGCTACCTCCCGCTTGCACAACGCGAGTCCGCCCCTAGAGGGAATCGGTCCCGGAAGCAGTTTTCTTGGCTACTGTTTCCGGGCGGAAGGTTGAGGCCGGACGGACCCAGGTGAGGGCGGGGGAGCGGTTACAGGAGCGGACACGACGACGG